CCACTTAGCTATAAATGTCTCTAATTTCTCATTTTTTATGGCTGAGTAGTACTCCATTTTATAAAAAAACCACATTTTCTTTATCCAGTCTCCAACACTCAAAAATTAATAGCATTCCTGTACACAAATAACAAACTCACTGAGAGAGAAATTAGGCAAACCACATCTTTCACAATAGCATCCAAAAAAATGAAATATTTAGGAATCAGTCTAACAAAAGAAGTAAAAGACCTTCACATTAAAAACTACAGTACTCTGAAAAAGGAGACGGAAGAGGATATCAGAAAATGGAAAGATATCCCTTGTTCTTGAGTAGAAAGAACCAGTATAGTGAAAATGGCCATACTCCCAAAATTGTTATACACATTTAATGCAATCCCGATCAAAATATCAATAGCATACTTCATAGAATTAAAGAAAACAATTCTCAAATTCATTCAAAAGCAATTCTGTGTAAAAAAAAGGCAAGGTAGGGAGCATCACAATCCCTGACTTAAAATAATGCTACAAAGCTATCATGATGAAAAACAGCATGGTACTGGCAAACAAACAAACAAAACAGACCTGAGGATGAAGAGAACAGATTAGAAGATGCAGAGACAACTCCAAACACACTTAGCTACCTTATCTTTGCCAAAGGGGCCAAACACCTTCACTAGAAGAAAGATGGTGCTGGAAAAACTGGCTTTCCACATGCCAGAGATTAAACTTAGTCTGATATCTCTCACCATGCACTAAACTAAAATCAAAATGGATCAAAGATCTAAATATTAAAACAGAAAAACTAAATCTTCTGGAAGATAAAATAGGTAGAACTTTCGAAGACATAGGTATAGGCCAACACTTTATGAACAAAACCTTGTTTGCACAGGAAATATCACAAAGATTCAACAAGTGGGATCTCATCTTATTAAAAAGCTTTTGCACAGCACAAGAAACCACCAACAGAGTGAAGAAACAAGAAAATTTTTGTCAGCTGTTCCTCAGACAAAGGACTAATATCTAGAATATATAAAGAACTTTTAAAAATCAGACACCCCCAAATTTAAAGACCCAATCCAAAACTGGGCATCTGAAATGAATGCACACTTTGCAGATGAAAAGTAGAAATAGCAAATAAGTACATGAAAAAATGTTCAACATCACTTGTCATTCAAGAGATGCAAATTAAAACAATGCTGACATTCCATCTCATTCCAGAAAGAATGGCTATTATCAAGAAATGACAAAAGCTGGTGGGGATGTGAGGAAAAAGGAACCCTTTTCCACTGTTGGTGGGAGTGTATACTGGTGCAACCACTGTGAAAATCAGAGTGGAAATCCTTCAAAGAACTAAAACTGGAGGTTGCATTTGACCCAGCTACTCCCCTTCTTGGTATTTTCCTGAAATTAAAGGCATCATACCACAGCAATATATGCATACCCATATCTATAGCAGCACAATGTATACCAGCTAAATCTTGGAAACAGCTTAAATGCCCATCAACGGATGAATGGTAAAGAAAATATTTTTTATGTATAATGGAGTTCAATATGACTCTGCCACATAGCTCTGCCATATAGAAGGATAAGCTGGAGACATTTCTAGGTAAATGGATGCACCTTGAGCCCATACTCTTAAGTGAAATAAATTGGACACACATATTTAAATATCATGTTGTCTCTCTGGTGTGAGAAACTGAATGGGTAAATAAGGATCAAAATGTATAATAGATATTGGGAAGCAGGAAGAAAATGTTCAAATGGGAAGGAGAACGGGGAGCAGGACAAGGAATGAAGGGAAAAGAAAAAAGAGAATAGAAGGAAAAAATGTAAACAAAGCTTTTGTAAATAAGGAGGGGAAGAGGGACTGAAGGGAGGGGAGGGTATTTGAGAAAAAAGAAGAATCAAGATGTACTATATACAGGTACAAGTTCCCTATGATGAATGTGAGCATTATGTATATATAAAATGTATCAATAAAATCAGTTTTAAAAATAGAGTAGAGGGCCAGGGATGTAGCTCAGTGGTTTTGGCACCTGCCTTGCAAGCGGAAGGACCCGAGTTCGATCCCCAGTACCAAACAAGAAAAATAGAACAGAAATTTTGCACTTCATTTGTAAAATTTATTCCTAAGTATTTTATTGTTTGTTTGTTTGTTTGGTACTGGGGATTGAACTCGGGACCTTGCACTTGTGAGGCAGGGGGTGGAACCACTGAGCTAAATCTCTGGCCCAGTGTTTTATTCTTTTTGATTTTATTAAGAATGGAATTTTAAAAAAATTTTAGTTTTGAATTGTTCATTGTAAGTGTATAGAAATAATTTTTTTCATGTTGATTTTGTAGCTTGCAACCTTTCTGAAGATTCATTCACCACTCTAATTTTATTTGGAGGAGTCCTTAGTATTTCACAAGATCCTATTACCTGCAAATAGAGATAGTTTAAATTTCCTTTCTGTTCATCCCCTGTCCACACCCCCAGGGTCTTGATTTGTAGTTCAGGTTGGCCTTGAACTCACTACGTGGTCCATGCTGCCCTTGAACTCGAGGTGATTCTCTTGCCTCAGGATCTGGAGTGCTGGGACTACAGGAGTGTGCCACCATGTCCAGCCATGTAGATGTCCTTTTTCATCCTGAGGAAGTTCCCTTCTGTTCTGTCAGAAGTTTTGTTGCTCCCTGGTTGATCTACAGCCATTCTGGAAAAAGGTTAGGATATCTTGTACCATTGGTATTGCTCTTCTCACTCTGCCAACTGCCTTTTACCTCTTCTCCCTCCTGGAGGCAGTGTTAGGTAGGGGTGCAGTCAACCTTGACAGAGCGCATTCTAGGAATGTAGTGCTTATGGCCTAACAAATTTAAGCAAAAACATGATGGTTAGGATTGGGGTTAGTGTTAATGTCAGGTATCTTTTTTGATTTCAAGTACTGCAGTACT